GGAGGCCATCGCTATTAGGTTGGAGGCCATCGCTATTAGGTTGGAGGACATCGCTATTATATAGATTGGAACCCATTGCTTCTAGGTTGGAGGCCATCGCTATTAGGTTGGAGGCCATTATCACTACAAGGTTGGAGGCCATTGCTTCTAGCTTGCGGGCCATCGCTATTAGGTTGGAGGCCATCGCTATTGGGTTGGAGGCCGCCGCTACTAGGTTGGAGGCCATTGCTTCTAGGTTGGAGGCCATCGCTACAAGGTTGGAGGCCATTGCTTCTAGGTTGGAAGCCATCGATATTAGGTTGGAGGCCATTGCTATTAGGTTGAAGGCCATTGCTTCTAGGTTAGAGGCCATCGGCCATCACTACTAGGTTGGAGCCCATTGCTTCTAGATTGGAGGCCATCGCTATTAGGTTGGAGGCCATCGCTATTGGGTTGGAGGCCGCCGCTATTAGGTTGGATCCCATCGCTATTAGGTTGGAGGCCATCGCTATTAGGTTGGAGGCCATTGCTTCTAGGTTGGAGGCCATCGCTATTAGGTTGGAGGCCATTCCTATTAAGTTGGAGGCCATCGCTATTAGGTTGGAGGCCATTGCTATTAGGTTGGAGGCCATCGCTACTAGGTTGAAGGCCATCGCTATTAGGTTGGTGGCCATCGCCATTAGGTTGGAGACCATCGCTATTAGGTTGGAGGCCATCCCTATTAGGTTGGAGGCCATCGCTATTAGGCCCTCTCTCCCCTCTCTCTCTCTCTCTGTCTGTCTCTCTCTCTCTCTCGGAGAGAAGTACATATCGCGCTTTTCACAAGGCCACCACCCAATTCTCTGCAGCAACGAGCGCCTCCAAGAGACTCACCACTGGAAACTTGTGTCTCCCTGCATTATGCCGTGTCAGCAGGCAGCATCCTACTTGGCAGGCAGCATCCTACGTTATATCCCCCACCAAGCCTTCATCGCAGCTGTGTCACTGATCATGTGTATCCTTTTGCACCATTCAAGCTGAGAGCCTCGCAACACTGCTTGTGAAGGAGCCAAGTGATCGAACTGGTCAGAATTTGTAGCTTCCCCGTTTGATGAGGTACTTGAGGAGACTGCGGTCTGTACATGATGAGTGCCCTTGCATGTTGGAACGGAATCTCTGTAAACTCCCCACCTTGAGAGCTTCTGTGCGAAAGCGTAGTCTGAGAAAGTCTGAAGTTCTCCATCAATTTTGTTGCCTGAGACCATTGCATACTGGTCTGACAAGCGACCAGAGCCGCCCCTAGAGCTATCGCATTGGGAGTGCACTGATCTCTCTGCATTCGCCCCAACAGTTCCACTGCTCTTGACCATGCGCTGCCACTCTCACAAGCTGCAATAGCAGCTCCATATGTTGTCACATTAGGGCGGAGGTCATAGATCTTCAAATCGTCCAAGAGGATCAGGGACAGTTGCCAGTTCATACCATTGCCACATGCATTGATCACTGAGCTCATGCTCACCAAGTCAGCAGTCATGTCCAGCTGCATCTGCCCAAACAGCCGCAGCGATTCTTGCCACAGCGACGCTTTGCCAAGGGCTGTGATGCAGGTTGTGAATGTCATCCGATCGGGTCGAATCTTTTGACACGGCATGTTGCTAAACAAATGAACTGCTGCCTCCCACTCATATCCTGCGATCAAGAAAACTGAAAGGATGAACAAAAAAGCAGCCTCAACCCGTCTGGCAAGCAAGGCTCGAAAAGAGTTAGCAATTAAGAGCTGCCAAAGGACCGAACATATCTGCAACAAGTGCGACATTAATGCATGCGGATGCATGCTCTCCTTTGGAGCAAGCGTTCAAGGTCGCATTGTACGCCACCAGACTTGGCTGAAGACTGCTGGCCTGGACTTCACATTAAGCAAGTCTTGAAAGAATGGATTCACAAAGACTCAGCCTTCAGGTCGGAAAAAAGGGCCAACGATGCCATCCAATCCTGAAGAACCCATAAGAAATCATCATAAACCCATCGCAAGTGGACAATGTGGGGGCCAAGCAGCGCTCCTGCCCAACCCCACAGGCCGAAATGAGTGTGCTGAAGAAGTGAATATCTGGTCGAACTTTCTCTCTGCGCATCTCTCCAAGCAGTTCGAGAGGTCTTTCCCACTGTGCACTTCTGACGAAGGCCTTGGTTGCACCCCGAACACTTCAGAATGGACTAGCTACCACGGAATCCTGAGATATCCTGAGACCCTTCCTCTGTCCAAAGCTCCTAGCGCCCTGCACTACATGAGGCTGTGTTTGAGAAGCACGCTATCTTTTGCGACAGTACGTCATCTCGGATTTAGCATCTTATCTTTGGCTGCTCTTCATGCAAGCTTGGCAATTCACATCAATTCTACAGTATACAGTGACACTAGTACTGGTAGATACTGGTAGCATGCTTTAGCCTAGGGACGGTCTCCTGTTGATTGTTAAACAGGCAGGGTGGGTGGGCGGGTGGGTGGACCTAAGTTTGTTTCTGTTTTTAGATACGTTGAGAAGCACGATCAAGATATGCGTAAGGAGCATGAAGGCTCAAGAGGTCGCCACGATGTGTGTCTGAGTTCTGTTGCTTCGCTTGTCGGCTGTTCTGTGTCTTCCCTGCTTTGTGTGCCTTCTTCCTCTGTGGCATGTCAATCCTTTTTCTTTGGCCGAATATATTGACGGTTTAACGCGTGATTGTTCTAAATTGTTCTGGTCCTTTAGCTTCTTTTGCGCACCAAACCGTTTTGGATTCAGATATATATATATATATTCAGATCGTTTAAGCTGGGAGTTGATGTTGAACACTCATTTGTCGTTGTATCAACTTTGGTGCAACGTGTGGTTGAGACTTTCTCTCTCGGAAAAAAGAAACAGCGGCTAAGTCCTTTCCCTTGGGTGCTTTAGTGCTGAGTCGGCGTTTGTTGCGTAGTTGTAGCAGCTCCGTGTCGGATTTTCCTGTCCGTGGCCGATCATGATCTGCTGTGCGTGCATTCGCATCCTCCAGTCGTCTGTGCCCGCCTTCGTGACACGTCCTCACTGACTCCCGATGATTCGCTCGACCATCGAAAAAAAGGGATGAACGCGCAGCTTGCCTAGGGAGAGCAAACGTCACAAAAACGTTGCAAGTGGACGTGCCCCGAAGAAGGCGTTGTTTAAACAAGAAAACTGATGAGAATCCATTGTGTTTTCCAAATAAATTAACATCAGACACCAGCAAAAAAGGGTACGGTGTCCAATCCGTACGGATGTTTTACCATATAATGACAGTATTATCAGACTTTGGTTCTGGTTGCCAATGTTGTCATCGTTGTCATCATTGTCATTGTTGTCATCGCTGTTGTTGTTGTTGTTGTTGTGGTTGTTGTTGTTGTTGTTGTGGTTGTTGTTGTTGTTGTTTTTTGGTGGCCAGCGTCGGCGTCGGCGACTGCCCGTCCCTGTTGCTGTTGCCCTTGTTCTTGCTATTGTTGACGGTGCTTTGCCAAAGGGACCTGACTTGCCTATAGCCTATAGCTGAAAACTGCTTCAAACAGATATCTGACAGTCTCTACTATCAACTGAACCTCAACATCCAAGCAGAATCCCCAAATCAATGATCACTCTGTATCAATTATATCACATAACGTGCTAAACAAAAGGGGTGGCCACAATCATTAAACTCATGAGCCTGGGTTCTTTGAACACCTCACTCACCTCACATTGTCTCCTGGACAACATGCCTGCACCCAAGAAACTGTGGCCAGCGAGCTGTAGGTGAAAGTACTTGGTTGCAATAACCTGCATAGGAATTACATCGTTGTATCCCTCACGTTCATGAATGAATTTGACTAGCATGGTTATAGGCATAGGCATAAGACAATTGAATATATACAATTGCTTCAATTAGTGCACTTGATCACATCTATATACAGTAGTCTAATATGTCATGTCTAATTATCACAATCAGCATTGCAATAGAACGGACCCGACAATTGGCCATGACCTTCCATGCAATCGAGCAACTCCGTTCGCAAATCTTGCATAACTTGGACAGCCATCTCCCATTGCTGCTGCTTACCAAAGTCGCCAATTCGCGCAGTACGTTTCTCAGGGACATATCCAAAAATAGCTTGTATGCTATGACAGTGAAATACAGTGAATGAAAATCATGTTAAAATCAGTGTGCTCCAAGCACACTAAGTAGCCTCCCCGCCTTCAGGCTTGCTCCTCGCAGATCCAAAGGATTCCAGGGCATGTGCTCGGCAAACACTCTTGAGTTCTAAGAGTCTCTCAGTGACTCAAAGAATCAAGCCTCGGCAAACAGCTTACCAGGTTTGGTATGAGCAGGGACTACTCATTTTCATCCAGCCTCAAAGACCCCAACCCTCCCGGACCCCGGGGCCCCCCCGAAAAATGTCCTTTTTGTGGCCCAAGTGCTCGCGCCATGTTGTTTGAAGATGTTTTTGCTTGCTCTGTTTAGAAGCGGCACGCAAGGAATAACATCATTCCCCAAACCCAGCACTAGGAAAACTGCTTGGTGAGCACTAGCATTCATGGAGTTGGTGATGAGATTCAACATCTCTTGGTCTTCTTCCTCAGCAATAGATGAGTGGATCTGTTGGGTTGCTGCAGCACATCATGCACAATCTGCACTTTGATGTCCACAAAGTGTTGGCCCAGCCCCTGCCACGGAATCCGCAACTCAAGCTTCACAGAAAGACGGAAGAGAGATGGCGGTTGGAACGATCCGCGAAGGAGATCCATTTGTTTGAAACTACAAGGCAACAGTTCTGGTACCGGCTGAGTTTGGTGAGTGGCTATGAAAACAGTGTTGTATAGTATAGATCATGGTTTTTTGAGATTTAACAAAAGCGTCATGCAAGGAAAATCGCAAAGTAACCAAGCCAGGAACAGGACTTTTTGAAGCCCGTCCGGTGCTGAGGTGTGCAGTATCGAAAGTATGCCAAAACTGCAAAAACATGCTCTACGAAAACCACTCGAGGTTTGGAGGGCATGCTGTTATCCTATACAATGCAAATGGGAGCTTCCAAACTTTCCATGTCCGTTTGCTGGCCAAGCCAAAACGAAAATCCAAACGCTTCGGGACGCTCTGGGGCAGCGGTTTCTTCACCGTCAACAACTCGACGCACCTCACAATTTGAAAGGGTGGTGACCACGTGGTGAGTGCAAAGCATAGTATCTATTGCATAATATCTCTACTGTTCATGCTGCAAACACTAAAATCTCGATCACACTCGTAAACGTGTTCGTACGCATCTACAGATTGGCAAGAATCAAAAACGGCTGGTTGTCAAAATGTTGGTTTGCAAAATCCTTCATGAACCTTCAAGAAACTCACAAGTATCAACAACCTGCCTCTGGGCAAAGGGTGAGAGTGCATCCCACTGTGTTGCGGCCTCAATGTACACTGAGCGTGGGCAATCATGGACTCACAGTTGATTGTTGAACAATAATGTGTGTCCCAGGAATGCAAAGCATATCATGACACGCAAGATACACGCTTACCTTTCTCCACAAGGCACATGCATATCCACGCTTTCAAGGAAAAGCGAGGCCCATGGCGTCTACTTCTTGTTTGCCTGGCTACGTTAAGAGCTCTGCCATGAAAACAATCTTGCACCGCCATCTCAATGTTTGATCATTGCTGCCGGCAAGTCACATGGATCCTCATGTTGCTACCTGGTTGCCTGCATTATCTTGCAAGAGACTGTTCGGCCCAAATTGCACCCAGCTGCCAGGGTTTGACTGTGCAGTGCTGCTAGCAAACATTGCATGTTCTGATGCTTCATGCTTCAAAAAGAATCAGCTTCCAAACACACTAGGAAAGTTTGCACTGGAGATGGCACATACTCCCTTTCACCAAGGCCACACAGGCATCTGAATCCATTCGCTCAAGGTGGACGGAGCCTACACTGTGCCGGAGGCGGGTATCCGAGACTGAAAAGCCATGCCAAAACATTGGTAAAACACGACAAATCACCAAGTCGGTTTACCGTAGAACTTGAGACATCGGACAAACAAAAGGCCTTTTGATGCGAAAGTATCGCCATTGGTCCAGCATCCTGGGCCGAAAAACATGCCTGGTTGCCAATCTGCACAGCTTCAACACTTGAACAGCATCCAATTGTACAGTTCTGTGCCCTGTGCTTCTTCAGTAGCGGACCAATCCAAAGATCCTTCTCCTGCTCCGCGCATTTTCTGTAGGAGCTTCATCCTCAAGCAAAGCGCAGCAATTTGTCAAAATGAGCTGGGATGTGCCAAACCAATCAGCTGGCAGTTAATTTTGTGAACATGATCAGCTGGCAGCTGCCCATGCAGCCTCCTACCAAGTTGTTTGCTAGCAGCTGCATTAGATACGTACTTGTCTGCCTGCTTTTCTGCATACTTGAAGAACTCTCTCCCTCGCTCTCGCTCTGCCTCTCTCTCTCTCTCGCTCTGCCTCTCTCTCGCGCTCTTCCTGTTTATCAACCATTTGTTTGAATATGAAGTTGGAACTACAAGTAAGTACGCGTTGAAAGGCAAACATTGTGGTACAGTACTGGAGTGTTCTGAGAAAAGCGCTCTTTGCCATTGGATCTGAAAGATCTTGCTGCTGCCGCTGCTGTCAACTCAGCTTCAGTATCAGAAGACATCATGAGGTTTCTGCGTCCATGCCACTGGGTGGCTAAGCCCCGCACCTGCTGCAAGGGGATATTCTGCCTGAGCGAAACAAACATACAGCACATCGAATTGGATCCAAGCAAACATGGCAGATCCTCCCAGTCTTCCCCCTACCTCGGCGTATCGTGAGAAACAGCTAATGCCATTCCCCTCTTGCCACTGATGCCTTAGCATATGGTAGAATCTGACATTTTTACCTTCCAGATTTGCTGCAAAACAATGTATATTGAGGTCCTTCATTTTGCACACTTTCCTTTGCAAATCACTGCACCACTTTACCCTTTGTCATAATCTGGGCACTGGAGGCGTTGAAAACTACAGGATGCGTAGGCTCGTCAGGCCTCAAACAATCACAAGTGGCTGCCAATGATTGATCGATTTGCAATAGTCCAAATTGAACTCAAAGTCCTTCCTGCAAAGTGCAGGCTGTGGTTACGTTGGAATGTGGACTCTGAAATGACCCCTATGAAGTCGAGTAACTAGTAAGCCCCTTGCACTCTTGCAGTCTCATGCCCCAAAAACAAATGATAGTGCAACAAGTACATGACATGTATTATGTGTGTATAACTGTATATTGTATATATACAGATACATACACCACTAGGACCTATAGTTTTTCTTCTTGAAGGTTCCAAATTGAGAACCCTTTCCTCATAGAATCCTGCAAGATGCTTCACACAGTCATGTGTCCTCCCGACATGATAATTGACCGTCCCACTGGCCACGCAAAATGCACTTCTTAATTTGAGCGCGCCTGATCCACATAGATTTTATAGGACCCGGTAAGAAGAAAAGAACGTTCTTCCTTCTCAATGGCATCTGAAAGAGTATTATATAAAGATGTTCATCGAGAGGATACAGCGCCGGCTTTGCGGAGTACTTCAGGCTAGTGATAAGGCAGCAAGCCATTTGTGTGAGGATTGACGTTTTTGAGGCGAAGCTCGCCCTTGTTCATTTCGCCCAACGCTTAACCTCATCTGTGACGCAGTACTGGGACAGAAAGTGAGTCTTCTTGAAGGTTCCGAATTGAAAACCCTTTCCTCATAGAATCCTGCAAGACGCTTATGTCGCCTCGCAGGGTCGAATTTCCTCCCTCCAAAGCTGCTTGATTGTTATACTGTAAATCTTAAAAAGAGGGCAATAATTGACCGTCCCACAGCGTGAAATAGACTCCTTGATCCGACTGAAAAGGAAAAGACTTTCTTCCTCCTGAAGTATACATCGTATATATAAAACTATACAAATGTGTTGCAAAAACAAGAACTAACCAGTTTAAACGAAACAATTGATATTTGCACGGTGCTTCAAACTATGCTTTGGAGTTTTGAGGGACCCTCTATTTTGCCATAGACGGGAACAAAGGCAACCAAGTCAAGAACTCAAGAACCTCGTTGGCAAATTGTGGATGGGGTAGATGCAGAATTGCTGCATATGTATGCATATGATTGATTTTTCTCAAGGCTCTCAGGCTCTCAAGTTTTTCCAAGTATTGTACGCTGTATATAAGTCTATGGGCTTTGTGTGGGGTCACAATGTTGAAACGCTTGCACCCCGGGCTTCCAATCACAGCCTTTGCTCGCATCTCACACAAATGGCCGCAGAAAGTTTAAAACAGTTGAGAAGGTCGAGCCTGCGCAGGGATTCTGCTGCGATGGTGCACTGCAGCACAAGACCAAAAAAAATGGAAATGGGCCATGGGTTTTACAGTCTTTAGAAGACGAGATGTAGTTCAAAGCCCAAAGCTAGGGCTTACCTGGATGCTGGCGCCTGAGTTTCACCTAGCATGACCCACAGGCCACAGACAAAACCCAAGATATGCAGGACAGACCTCATCATGATGAAGACAAAGTCCGGATTGCTCCGATTACCTGCTAGGGAGGCAGTTACAAGCTCACCTTCCAACATGTCAGATAAAGGATCTGCTGGGAGCTTTCAGCTTTCAGAGGCTACCAAATGCTTGGGCACCATGTGTCTGCGATTTAGAAGCAGGGAGGACATTGGATTTGAGGATCTGCATGCCAAGACTCTCAATTGACAACCGCTTTGAGACTTGCACACAGCTTTCGACAAGCACATGGCAAGTTGGGCCCAGAGGAAATCCCGAGCCAAGAGGCTGCAGATTGGTCAGCCAAACGGGCTGCAGCTGCGATGTGGCCACTTGGCCGACACGGCAGTTGTCAGTTGGCCGACGCGCCAATCCGAGGCAATAGAGGCGAAAATTAACCGGATAGGCCCCGGATAGGCTTGATGGATGGACTAATAGGAAGAACCTTTGGTTCTCAGTCGTACTTACTTAGAGTACCTACAAGATTCTACTAGATGTGTGCAAAAAAACAGCAGTGCAAAAGTTTTTCAATTGATGGTTCTTTGGAAGCTTCATCAGTTGGGGAAGGTACACAACTTATCATCTGTCTGCGGTTGGATACATACTCCTCTACCTGAGGTTACTTGAAATAAATCTGGCCTTCATTTGCATGACATCTTCGCATGGATGTGTGAGCCTGAAGCAAACACAGACTGGAAATATTCATGTGGAGAGCAAGCTTTCCCTTCAGCCTCGTTGATGCATCAAATGCCGGGCAAAGCCGGCCCAGAAACATGGTTCATCAATTCTCCACTCTGCGAGGGTGTTTGTGCATGTGTGCGTGTTTTTGTGCCATATATGATATATGTAGCATACTGTTTTTGGCACTGGGGTGAAAAATGGAGATGGGCAGGAAGATTGGAATTATGTTCCCGTAAACACACACACACACACACACTTATGGAAATGCGTACTGACTTGACAGCGGTGCCACACGCCGGCCTAGGTTACCATTTCCTAAGGGTACAGGTAGACCAAACCAATAGCATCGACGATCACGCGACAGGTTGACGACGTGCGTGCAGGACTGTGACTCATCTCCAGGTTCAGGTAAGTTAAAGATCTCCAGAGCTCAAAACGAAAAACGGACGAGCGACAGGATGACGGCGA